CCTCTTTGGTGAGCTGTCTCTTTGTATCTTTTGCTCACTTTCTGTTGCATTCTTTGTTTTTATACTGTTGAGTTTTGAGAGTTCTTGATATAGTCTAGATACTAGGCCTTTGTCAGATATGTGGTTTCCAAATATTTTCTCCTAGTCTGAAGCTTGTCTTTTCATCTCCTTAACAGGGTCTTTCATAGAACAAAAGTTTTTAATTTTGGTGAAGTTCAATTTTTCCTTTTATGAATTGTGCTTTTAGTGTCAAGTTAAGATCTCTTGGCCTAGCCCTTGATCCTGGAGATTTTCTCCGGTGTTTTTTTCCTAAAAGTTTTACAGTTTTACATTTTACGTTTAGGTCTATGATACATTTTAAGTTAATTTTTGTATAGTGTGAGGTTTAGGTTGAGGTTATTCTTTTTGTCTGTGGATGTCCATTTGCTCCAGCACCATTTGTTGAAATAGCTATCTTTCTTCCATTGAATTGCTTTTGCACCTTTGTAAAAAATCACTGGGCATATTTGTGTGGATCTATTTCTGGGTTCCCTGTATTGTTCTCTTATGGTATGTGTCTGTCCCTCCACGCAGTCTTTATTCCTGTATCTGTGTAATAAGTCTTGATATCAGAGTGATTTTACCCACTTAATCTTTTTCAAAAGTATTTTAGCTATTCTAGTTTCTCTGTCTTTCCATATAAATTATGGAATGATCTTGTCTATATCTACAAAAAAAGTCTTGTTGGATTTTTTGTGAAAGTTTTTTCAAAAATCTTGAAAGGACTTATATAACATGTATCTCAATTTGGGGGAATTGACATCTTTACTATGTTAACATTTCCAATCTCTGGATGTAGTATGTCTCTCCATTTATTTAGATCTTCTTTGCTTTCTTTAATCAGCTTTGTGTAGTTTTTGGCATGTTTTGTCTTGTTTTGTTAGATTTATACCTAATTCTTTTATTTTTTGAGGGCCGTAAGTCACATTATTTTTAATTTTGGTGTCCACGTGTTTATTGCTGGTATATAAAGGTACGTTTGACTTTGTATGTTGATTTTAAGTCCTGTTATCTTGACGAACTCACTTATTAGTTCTAGGCTTTTTTTTTTTTTGTAGAGTCCTTGGATTTTTCTGCGTAGACAGTCATGTCATATGCAAATAGGGTCAGTTTTACTTATTCCTTACTGATCTATATGCCTTTTATTTCCTTTTCTTGCCTTATTTCACTGGCTAGAACTTCCAACACTATGTTGAAGAGTGATGAGAACAGACATCCTTGTCTTGTTTCTGATCTTAGTGGAAAAGCATTCGGTTTGATATTAGCGGTAGGTTTTTTGGTATATGTTCTTTATCAAGTCAAGGAAGTTTATTTCTGTTTTTCTGATTCCCACTTTTTATCATGAATGAGTATTGATTTCTGTCAACTGCTTTCCTGTATCAAATTCATACAATTGTATTGTGTTTGGAAAACACACTCTATATGATTTCAATTCTCTTAAATTTGGGGGGTTTGTTTTGTGGCCCAGGATATGGTCTATATCTTGGAATATGTTCTGTGAGCACTTGAATGTGTATTCTGCTGTTGGGTGGAGTGTTCTATAAATGTTGATTAGATTCCTTGGCTGATGGTATTGTTGAGTTCTTCTATATCCTTGCTGATTTTCTGTCTAATTGTTCAATCAGTTGTTGACAGAAGGATGTTGAGGTTTCCAGGTCTAATTGTGGATTTCTCTGTGTCTGTTTTCAGAGTTTGATTCATGTATTTTGGAGCTTCGTTGTTGGTACAGACACATTTAGGATTGCTATGTCTTTTTGATGTATTCACTCTTTATATAATGTCCCTTTCTCTGGTAGCTTTCTTTTCTCTGAAGTCTACTTTATCTGCTATTAATATAGCCATTTTTGCTTTCTCTGGGTTAATGTTTGCATGACATATCTTTTTCTATCGTTTTTCTTTCTGCCTGCCTGTATCATTACATTTGAAGTGAGTTTTTTGTAGACAGCATATAGTTGTCATATTTTTAAATCTACTTTGTTAATCTGAGTCTTTTAATTGGTGTATTTAGAACATTTACACTTAAGATGATTATTGATATATTAGGGCTTTAGTCTGCCATTATATATTTTGTTTTCTATTCTCTGTTTTTCATTTCTATTTTCTTATCCCTCCCTTCCTGTGGGGTACTTGAATATTTTTTAGAATTCTATTTTGATTTGTTTATAATGTTTTTGAGTGTATCTCTTTATATAGTATTTTTAGGGGTTACTCTAGGTTTGCATTATATATACATAACTTATCACAGTTTACTGGTGTTGTCATTTTACCAATTCAAGGGAAGTGTGGAAACTTTACCTCCTACCTCCCTTTGCTCTCCCCTAGTTATCATGTAATTAAATAGTTGCTCTACATACGTTTAGAACCACATAAGACAATGTTAAAATTTTTGTTTCAAGTCTCACATAATTTAGAAAGCTCAAGAGAAGGAAAGTGTATTGTATTTGCCTTTATTTTTCATTACCATGTTTTTTTCTTCCTCTTTGATGTTCCAGAGTTCCTTCTTAAAAAATCATTTCCTGGAGCTGGCCCAGTGGTGTAATGGTTAAATTCGCGTGCTCTACTTTGGTGGCCTGGGGTTTCACAGGTTCAGGTCCTGGGTGCAGACCTACACACCACTTGTCAGGCCATGCGGTGGCAGGCGTCCCACGTATAAAGTAGAGGAAGATGGGCACAGATGTTAGCCCAGGGACAATCTTCCTCAGCAAAAACAGGATGATTGGCAACAGATGTTAGCTCAGGGTTAATCTTCCTCACCAAAAAAAAATAAAATAAAATAAAAAATCATTTCCTTTTTGTTTAGAGAACTTCTTTAGTCATTCTTTTAGGGTAAGGCTACTGGCAACAAATTCTCTTAGTTTTGCTTCATCTGAGAATGTCTTGATTTTGCCTTCATTCCTGAAGAACATTTTCACTGGGTATAGGATTCTGGGTTGACAGTCCTTTTCTTTCAGCACTTGAAAATTATTGGGTCACTTCCTCTGCCCTCCATGGTTTTTGATGTGAAATCCACTGTCATTCAAATTGTTTTTCTTCTATAGTTAAGGTGGTGTTTTTCCGTCGCTGCTTTTAAGATTTTTTTCTATGTCTTTATTTTTCAGAAGTTTTCTTTGTTTTTTTCCTGTTTGGGTTATGCTCAGCTTCTTGAATCTATAGAATTTATCTTTTGCCAAATTTGGGAAAGTTTCAGCCTTCCTTTCTTGTAATACTTTTTCAGCCAGCCCTCTCCCCCCGCCTTCTGGGACTCTGATGACATGTGTGTTAGATCTTTTGTTAGAATCCCACAGGTCCCTGATGCTCTGTTCAGTTTTTTCCCCCAGTCTGTTTTCTCTCTGTTGTTCAGAGTAGGTAATTTCTGTTGTTCTGTCTTCTTGTTTACTGATTGTTTCCTCTTTCATCTCTATTCTTCTGTTTAGCTCATCCACTTTGCTTCTTATTTCAATTATTGTATTTTTCATTTCTAAAATTTCCCTTTGGTTCTTTATATCTTCTTTTTCTTTGTTGAATATTTCTATATTTTTCATTTGTTTCTAGTGTGTTCGTAACTGCCTGTTGAGGCATTTTTATCATGGCTGCTTTAAAACCTCTGTTAGACAATTCTAACATTTCTGTCATCTCAGTGTTGACATCTGTTCATTGTCTTTTTTCACTCAGTTTCAGAAATTCTTGGTTCTTGATATGATAAGTGATATTCAGTTGAAACCTGGACGTTTTTGCGCTGTAAGACACTGGATCTTATCTCTCATGACTGTTTTAGCTGACTTTCTTTGATACCACTCTGGCAAAGGAAGCAATATTATGTGGAGGTAGAAGTCCCGGTTCCCTACTCAGTCTCTATTGACACCCAAGGTTGGGGCTCCTCGTTCCTGCTGGGTGGGCGTGGGGCTTCCTCCTCCTCACGTGATTTCCCACTGATATGCAGTGGGAGTGGCTTTTTACCACTGGGTGATGGTGAAACGCCTGATTCTAACATTAACCCAGTGGGGAGTTGGAGGGATGTCTCTTTAATCCTGGGTGGAAGTGGAAGTCCAGGCTCCTCACTTGATCTTCACTGACACCATGGATGGGGGTGTGGTTTGTTATCACCCAGTGTGGATGCAAGTTCCAGCTCCTAATCCATTTTCTCTAACACTACCCCAGTGGGTGGGTTGGGATGCCTCATTACAGCCTGACAAGTGGAAGTCTTGGGTCCTCACTTGGCCTTTGCCGGCCTGGGTAGGGGTGGGGCCACAGTTTTTCTGTGGAGCTTGGCTGGAGTAGGGTGAGTATCGTCTAAAATCTTCTGTCTTGCTAGGCTGCCCCTTTCCTGGTCCTCTGGCTAGAGAAAGCAGGCTTTCCTTGGGGCTTTGTTCTCTCCATTTTTTAATGTTTCTGGGTTGCTGGCTTCCTCGGCTCCAAGTCTGGAATATATGAGGCACAAAGAAAATCCAGGGAACTCACCACCCTGTCATTCCTTGGGTTCTGAAGTTGGTAGCTTGTCTTTTTTTTCTCTCTCTTTCACAGCCTTCTTGTGTTTGTTTCATATACAGTGTCCAAGGTTTTTTGTTGTATTTAGCTGGAGGAATAGGGAAAAGTACTTCTACTTTGTCTTCCCAGAATTGGAAATCTCATCTTAGTTTTGAAAGATGTTTTCATGGGGTATAGAATTCTATGTTAACATTTTTAATACTTGAAAGATGTCACTCCACTGTCTTCTGTCTTGTGTTGTTTCTGACAAGAAGTCTGTTGTCAATTTTACCTTGTTCCTATAAACATAATGTTTTTATCAGTGTTTCAAGCAATCTGACTGAGTGGTCCTTTGTGTAGTTTTCTTCATGTTTCTTCTGTTTGGGGTTTGTTGAGATTTACTGTTTCAAATTTGTATAACTTTCAGTCATTTAAAAAACTTTTATTTATAATATCCCTTGATGTGTATATAGAGTCATATTTTGCTAATTTGGGGATTATCATCTGTTATCTTTCAGGTCATGCTGAAGGATTTTGTATGATGTGTACAATGCAAGCACATATTACCCAGGCACTCAGTAATCCTGGGGATGTTATTAAACCAATGTTTGTCATTAATGAGATGCGGCGTAAGTATCATCTACAGTAGTTTATATTAGTATTTATTAGCTAATTGGTCTTTATAGCCTAACTGGTAAAAATGAGTCCCTTATGTTACAGAAAACAAACATTTTATCATACATGGATATGTCTTTAATTATTAACCAATTTTTAGTAAAACATTTGTTATATAAACACACTTTGAAACCTTAAGGCAAAAGATGACAATGTAATAAAGGAGACTGTATTCAGTTTAATATAAGCAAATTAAAATTTTTTTTTAATTCAGTTTGTTAATAAAAGCATTGATAAGTTTTACAATGAATTTTTTCCCAGATATTTGGATTTCCATGCTGAGTAATACTACCTGTAATATTGTCCCACAGGTTTCTTTAAATAGTTCTGAGTTAGTTTTAATTCAGTGAATGAATATTACACTATACATAGTGATGGGAATTATCAAAATAAAGTTAATTATACTCTTAAAGAAAAATTTATACTCATAACTTAGCAAATTTGTGGATAAATTTCACTTTTTCTATTTAAATTCTAAATGACTTTAAAATTTTCTTTCTGTTGTAATGATCCTGATCGGTTACATGAAATTCTTTTGTGCACTTTGTGTGTTTTTTGCAATAAACTTTTACATCATCTTAGTTAACTGAGTTGAAATAAAAAATGCATGCAAATAAAAAAACCCTAACTCTTAATCTAGTGTCTAGCTGGGTAATTACGAGGGTGGATAGTTATGCAGTGACAATCTATAATCCTTTTGCCTAAAAAGCTGCTGAAGATGAAAAGGTGTGATGTTGGCCTGTGGCACTATTGACAGGCCAGAAGAGACACTGCAAAAACTCTTTAAACATTGTTGGATCCCGGCAGGGTTTTAGCCAGGGGTGATTTTGTTTGTTTAATTCTGTATATACGGCCGACATGATTAATATTTTTAAACCTAGTCTTTAAGAAAATGTCATTGCTGTGTGTTTGTGTATACATACATCCACAAACACACACATATAGTTGAATCATGAAATTGCCATTTTTGTAGGTCAAAACTGGTGGAATATTGGCAATTTCATATGATTCAATCTAATATATATGTATATTCATACATAAAACATTATATATTTTATTGTGATATTATTTATACTTTTGTTTTTATTATTAATTTTGTATTGCAACTGTTTAGTCAATTAGAAACAGGGCTGAAATGTTACTGTGCAACTGAGAATGTAACATGTTCTGTAGGTTATTGGGCTAGAATTTAGATAGGTTCAGACATTTATGTTTTGCATGGATTCTCTTAGGGAGATCTAGCATCAAATTTAAGGTATGTGCACTACCATAACATTTTCAACAAATTTCTGAGACAGTACAGCCAAAGTTGAATTTATTCAAGTATAATTTTATTAACTTGCTGAAGATAGTCAAGTAGTCTCTGGGCTCGCAGAAACTCTAGCCCACCTGGGCTTTTCATGGTCTAAAGATCATGGTCCTAGCCGTTCTCAGGGTAGCTTGTGTTAGTGCTGTTTCCTTGTAAAATAATTATCAAACATTTTCTAACCAACATACTGTCATAAGATATAACTTTTGGAGGGTACAGCTTGGGCATATTATATGTGAAGATAAAGCTTTGTCTTTCCTTCAACTTTCTAGGTATAGCTAGGCACTTCCGCTTTGGAAACCAAGAAGATGCCCATGAATTTCTTCAATACACCGTTGATGCTATGCAAAAAGCATGCTTGAACGGCAGCAATAAGTGAGTACAGTATGACAAAGCTTGGGTCATTTCTTCCCTCTGCATCACCAGCTCACCAGAATTCAGTTTCGCCTTTTACGATGAATGTACAGAGCACTGTGTTTGCTTCACCTTTTGACTTTGCACTGCCTCTTCCTCAAGTGACTCGCATTATTTTAAAATAGTTAACATTTTAAAAGATGTGCTTAATATAATAATTTGGATTTAATTATAGATGTCAGGAAATGAATATTTGTCTTGCCATTATTTAATTTCTGAGTATCAGCATCTCTCTGCAGATCTAAAACTAACCACTTCTCCTTTCTAGTTGTGCCTGACATTTTCTCTGTTGACCTCCAGCCTCTGAAATCTGTATTTATTCCCTGCGTCTTTCTCACCCTGGTCAGTTACCAGTTCCTGCAGTTTCTTCCTTTAAATCTAAGAGCAGACTTGAGAGGAAGATTGGAGAAACAATTAGATAACAAGTTCTAACCCACTTGCTATTGCCTAACACACCTGGTAAATCTCCCATTCCGTTCCCACTGCCGCCAGCGCTGCCTTGGCCAGGCTTTCGTCTGGATGGCGATCAACTACAGAACAGAGGAAAACGCTCTGCATTCCCTGCCGTCACCAGCCAGTCCTCACACTCACTATCTCAGTCCTGCTAAGGGTGTCTTCCTATTGGTCCTTGCTTCAGGGCCAAATTCTTGCCTTAATTTCAAAGTCCCTTGCTAATACTATCCTACCTCTCTTCCTCTCTCCCCTACCCTCACTGTGTTCTGGTCAGGCAAGACTATTCTCTGGCTGCCGCACAGACTGATGTCTTTTTATTTTGTGGCTCTCCTGTTTGAATTCTCGTTCCTTTATAGACATACATGCTCTTAAAATCTGGTCATAGCTTCGGTAATTTTTGTAGAACTCCTCTCTCGTATAACTGTTCGACTGTTTTTCAGATTAGATAGACACACCCAGGCGACCACACTCGTTTGTCAGATATTTGGAGGATATCTGAGATCTAGAGGTAAACTTTTGTTTAAAAATTGATAAAGTGATGCATGTGGTTTAAGAAAGGCAAACAGTAGGAAAGGGTTAATAATGCACACTATGTCTCCCTTCCAGCCCAGACTCCATCACTCTTCCTCAAAGGCAACCCCCAGCCCAGTTTGTAGTACATCCTTCTAGTAGTTTCCTATGCATAAACAGACTAGGAGCATGTTAGATATATCCGTTTCATTTTTCTGTTAACATTAGAAATCTTTTTACGTTTCAGCACATATAGCTGAAATTATACATTTCAGCACCAGTCTTTCACAGTTGCAGTAGTAGTCTATTTATTTTAGTCCCCTATCAATGGATATTCAGGCTGTTTCTAATTTTTTTAGTGTAGTTATTACCATCAGTGCTTCTTTGAGCATCCTTGTACACATGCCTTTATGTCCATGTAAAAGTGTATATATCTAGGGTAAGTTCTTAGAATTTCTGCATCAAAGGGTGTGTTTTAAATTTTGATGCTGCCATATTGTCCTTCCAAGAGGTTATACCAGTTTACATTCCAACCAACAGTGTATGTGGGCCAAATTCATGACACTTTGACTCACATTGTGTAGTATGAAAAATTTTTGCCCAATCTGATAGGAGGAAAATGTACCTTGTTTTAATTTATTATTTTGAAATAGGATTTTTGTGTTCTGTCATTTCAGTAGTTGGTATTGCCACAGTGATTACACTTTGCTTATGCTTTGCATTTTGTTTTTATTTCAGTCAAATGTTTAAACTGCAAAGGTGTCTCAGATACTTTTGATCCGTATCTTGATATAACATTGGAGATAAAGGTAAACTTGATAATTGTTGTGGTAGTAGAGTTTTAAAAAAATCAATCATACTTTACATAACTTTGTGTACTTAGAGTTCATTTATAATTTACACTAAACTTGTTGGAGAATATGAATTAAAAAATTTCATATGCGAGGGCTGGCCCAGTGGCGTAATGGTTAAGTTCGCAAGCTCCGCTTTGGCGGCCTGGGGTTTGCAGGTTTGGGTCTTGGGCACGGACGTGCGCACCACTTATCAAGCCGTGCTGTGGCAGGCGTCCCACGTATAAAGTAGAGGAAGATGGGCACAGATGTTAGCCCAGGGCCAATCTTCCTCAGCAAAAAGAGGAGGATTGGCAACAGATGTTAGCTCAGGGCTAATCTTCCTCACCAAAAAAAAAAAAAAAAAATTCATATGCTAAGACTTTATTTAGAGGTGATTAGTTAAGCTTTGTAGTAGGCATCACTTAATCTTTTTTATCATTCTTTGACTTTTTACTTAATACATCTGAATAAAACCAGATTCTAGTGCCTATATTCGCCAAATTTAGATAGTGGTTATTCTTTAGAAACTGTTTTGCTTCTCTCATTTTCTAAACTCCTCTTTTTTGTTCTTAAGCTTCTGTTTTGTTTTTGTTTTTGTTTTTGTTTTTTGTGAGGAAGATCAGCCCTGAGCTAACATCCATGCTAATCCTCCTCTTTTTGCTGAAGAAGACCAGCTCTGAAGCTTCTGTTTTTCTGATTGCAAGTGTAATACATGCTTATGATGAAGATGAGAAACATTGCAGATACATAAAAGATCCCATTCCTCCGAAATCTCATTAACACTTTTGACATAAACTGTTCCAGAACACATTATTTGCCGTTTATAAAAATGGGTTTACACCTTATGTCTGTTTGGCCACTTGCTATTTTCATTTAATTCTGCTTGGGGACCTCTGTGTGTGTGCTTTGGCAGTGTGTGGTAGTCCAGAGAGTGGATATACCATGGTTTACGTGCCTGATTCCTTGCTGGAAGATATTTGGTTTGTTTCCAGTTTTATGCTATTTTTAAATAATGCTGCAGTGAGCAACCTCATGTTTTTGTTGTCTTTAATCTGCTCATTTTTCAATGGGAGGGGAAATCATTCGGTGTGTACATGTATAAAAGTGAACATCATCATAAAAGAAAATTTTCTTTTTCCATAAAAATTCACATTTGCTTTTATACCTTTGAGTCTTCTTTTTTCTTTTTTTCTAACAAGTGGCGGTGAGTGGTTTGAGTGGTAATGTGGTGTTGATGCTGTTCTCTTCCCAGGCTGCTCAGAGTGTTAACAAGGCATTGGAGCAGTTTGTGAAGCCAGAACAGCTTGATGGAGAAAACTCATACAAGTGCAGCAAGTATGATGGATAGTGCCGGTTACTGTAGTGGGAGGCAGGGAGGCTTGGCCTGAAAGAGTTTAGTGTGTCTGAATAACCCCTCCAGATTCCCTCTAGCTTCTGATACCGTCTGGGAAAGCACTGGGTCTCTAGTTTCCAAGGGCCAGGGTATGCAGTGTCTAAATGTTTACATTCTTTAGAGATGTGCACCTCTGTGTCCTTGGGAGACATGGTGCCTCGTTACTGGGAAGGTTTGGTGGGAGGGGGGAGATAACATCATCCATACACCACATGGCAGTGCTGCTGCGGAGGAAGGTGCAGCGTGGGAAGACGTGTCTGTGTGGAGCAGCCATTTCGTTGACTCTCCTGTTGTAAAAGGGTCGGGATGAAGTGGGGAGTCACTTTCTCCCAGAATAGTTTAAGGATCTTTCTCTCTTATGGTTGTTTCCCAGGATTTGGGGTAGTACCTGCTGGAAACCTCTGATTTTGATTATTCATTAGTGCATTTCCCTATGAAGTCAAGAGAGCCTATTTTAAGAAAGCCCTGTTTCATATGTTTTAAGTAGATTTTCATTTTATAGTCAGATAATACAGGTAATCATTACTAATGAATATTCATTTTGTGGGGAGGAAGGCTCCCTTCTACCCAACACCATAGAGATTTCTCCTTTTGTTTCAAACTCCATGGACATTTCTGATCTTTACTTTTCTTTCTTTCGTATCTAGATAGGGCTTTGTTTTCATAGAATTATACCGGCCTGAAAATCTGTTAGTTTTTCGGTTTGTTTTGAATTGAGAGAAACTTGTTATTAATCTAGTTTTAAAACTGTCAGTGACCTTTGTTACTTGACATCTCAGAATTGTCCTATATTCCTTTTTTCTCTCATGCAAATCAAGCCATTTCCCTCTGTATTTTAAATTTTAATATTTTCACTTTTGGTTAAAAGGGGTGGTGTTTCTCATCTAGTATCCTTCTTTTGGAAACTTAATTTAGAGTGTTTCAGAGAAATAACAAGAGAAAGACTAAAAAACCAAAAAAATACATATTAATCTTCTTAATCCTTTGTTTCTGTTTTTTTCAAGGTGTAAAAAGATGGTTCCAGCTTCAAAGAGATTCACTATACATAGATCTTCTAATGTTCTTACACTTTCTCTGAAACGTTTTGCAAATTTTACTGGTGGAAAAATTGCTAAGGTACGTAGATAATATTATTAGTAACCTTTTATGTTGAACCTTTCAAGGCTTAAGTGTCAGTAGCTATTAAGGGTTATAAACAATGTAAGTGAACAGTTGTGTTACCTGATTTTCTGAGTTCTTCCAGCACTTGATAGTGGAAAAAAAAAAATGTCGAAGAATTGAGCTAGGAGTTTGGTCTGTGTGTGAGTGTGTGTGTTTTTTTCTCTGTTAGTTGGGTAGACTTTCTGATGATCAAGTTGGTAACTATTATCTGCATTTGGGCTTCACAGTCAGTGAAGGTAATGAGCATCCGGATGCATGGAGAGCTTGTGTCACTTGAAATCCAGAGAGGACTTCCCTGCTAGGTCTGCCCATTCTTTCATCAACGTTCATTTTCTTGTTTATGTGTTTTCTGATTGGCAGTACACTAAATTTTCCCATTTTCTTCCCACTTTCTAAAGATTGCAAGGGGCCAAAAATTCAGTAGCATGCAAGAGAAATAAACAATCCATCCCTGAATTATTAAAAAATAAAACTAAGTGATGACTAAAGTCTAGAGTTGTCATTCTTTTACTATCTCCTTTGGTGGATTCGAAGAATTCACTTACCGTGGATCCTTATTTGTTTAAAGGAAATAAAGAATACCGTGGGACTGCTTTACATACACTTAGATTCAGATATGCTCCAGGTTAATTGTGTCTTTTGAAATGTGGTTCAACATGTTAGGTTTTGCTAGAACATGAAAGAGTAGTGTTCTGCGGGTCTCTTCCTAGGGGTCTCCTGCCCTGTCTGGCACCAAAATAACCCACACCTGAATATGTGGAATGCTCTCTGCCTTCAGAAATGATGTTTCCTCTCTCTGTTTCTGTTTAGGATGTGAAATATCCTGAGTATCTTGATATTCGACCATACATGTCTCAACCAAATGGAGAACCGATTATTTATGTTTTGTATGCAGTACTGGTACACACTGGTTTTAATTGCCATGCTGGCCATTACTTCTGCTACATAAAAGTAAGCTGTGCAGATTTTGCTAATAACTATTTTTACAATGCACTGTAAGATAGCACTGGCGTTCTTGGGAAGAAAGGTGGGACCTTTACAATTAAGATGTGAAAGCCTATTTTTCTTATGTTTCTTTTGGTTGGTGTTTTCTTTACCTAATGATATCTAATCTCTCTTTTATTGGCTCTTTTTTGCAGGCTAGCAATGGCCTCTGGTATCAGATGAATGACTCCATCGTGTCTACCAGTGATATTAGATCGGTACTCAGTCAACAAGCTTATGTTCTCTTTTATATCAGGTATTGTCAGGAAAACAGATTTTCACATTTTCTGTTATGTCGTTTCTCTTCATTTCATCAACATATTTAAATTAAATATTGGTTTTTTTTTTTTTTTTTAAACAGCAGCTTAATTGTGCTGGGAGAATAGGGAAGGTAGTTTTTGAGTATGGATTATGAGTGTAATTTAGTCCCAGCTCTTTGGCAGATTAACAGTGAAACATGCAGAGGAAGGAAAGGAAAGGTGGTAGCCGAGGAGGGTAGGCTTCTGCTGCTTCAGCAAACGGGGTGGGCCTGGGGGCCGGGGAGGCCGTGGGTGGAGGCCTCAGGCAGGGAACTCTGACTACCTGGGTGTGGTCACCTCACAACCGCTGAGCAAAGGCAGCCAGTCACCTCGCTGGGCCAGCACCAGCACCCCTGCTCATTTCTCTCCTGTTGCTGCCGCGTACTCTGATGCACGAATCCCATTTCTGGAAATGTATGGCTTTGAGAAAAATCTGATGTGTGCTCCAAGGTATTCATTTGTCATAGCTGAAAATTAAAGAACGTGCTAAAATTTCTAACAGCAGCAGAATGATCATATAAATTGTAGCATATCCATATGTTGAAATATTATGCAGCTGTTAAAAGTGATTTTTATGAAGCTTTTTTTAGTGATACGAGAAAGTAAGTGTTCAATATATATGGACGAAAAGCAGTTCGAAATTTTAACACACTGGTATTGAAAAAAATCAGTACAGGCTAAAGCCTGAGGGATAATCCACTAAATCTGAGTAGTACATGCCTCTAAGGAGTGGGATGAAGCACAGTGTTTTTGTTTATTTCTAACTTTTCTGGATATTATAAATTTTCTATAATGGTATGCACTTATAATTAGAAAAATATAAACAAACGGCAAAGAAAAATAGCTTTCAGATCGTGCCATCCTCAGAATACACAGGAAAAAATACCATTTGCCCATTTACCCTCGTTATCTGAGCACCTGACATGGAACTAAAGGGGATCCTGTGTGTAGCTCTGCACATTGCAGCATATCAGTCTGTCTGAGGGGTCATAAGTGAATCTCTTCTAAGGATATGTCCTTTATAACCCTAAGTAATATCACTCTTTGTCCCCAGGTCCCATGATGTGAAAAATGGAGGTGAACTTACGCATTCCACCCACAGCCCCGGCCAGTCCTCTCCCCGACCAGTCATCAGTCAGCGAGTTGTCAACAACAAACAGGCCACATCAGGGTTTATTGGACCACAGCTTCCTTCTCACATGATAAAGGTAACATGCCATAGGTGCAATATCATCTTTATGTTAATTTTTTTTAATGTATCATTCAAACCCTCTAGCTAACATTGCAGTGGTTGCCACGTCCTCAGATACAACTAAATTTCTTGTCAAGAAAGTTTATTCAAGCCATTTATTATAAAATACTTCAAATCTACAGAAAATCTCAGAGTATGAATGTAATGATCAAGAGGAAAGTCTGGGTATAAGTATATTTACATGCTAAAGATTTGAATTCTCACTTTGGACTTCCATTCACTTAGTGGATTAAATATTTGGGGATTCTTGATTAATGCTGGACTCTGAGAAAGTGACCCTTTTACAAAAAAGAACACTTTAATTATGTCCATTTAGCCCTTTCAGGAGTGTGGCGTTTTCCGTCTGCCATCCAGCTGGGTCTGATCACACTCCACCAGGGCTTCTCAGGGAGGATTGATGGGGTGCCTGGGTCGTCTGGGTCCCGTGATGTTCCAAGTCTTCACAGAGTGGAGGCCTAATTTTTGCTAGACTTACGTGTTGAGATGGTAGACAACCTGTCTACATGTTGGAATAATCCCTGTCATCTGTGCTGTAGTGTCTTAACGACCTTTCAGTGTGAGTTTAATTTGTTTTGAATCAGCAAACAAATTGTCTATTTAAATACTGTTTACTATGGACATTGGACAGTGCTGGATTGTAGCAGGAGTCACAAATCAAATGCCTTTGGGAGCGGGACATGCAGTAGGCTCCTGAGTTGGGCTCTGCTTACAAGTGACATCAGGACACTGGCCAGCTAGAGAGCACATGCCCTGTGCAGAGGGGCGGCTGCTATTGATTTTTCGAGTCTTTTTTTTTTTTTTTTTTTAACATGAAACCTTCCGATGTTAAGATAGCACCTAATTCAGATATTTAAGAAAACATCGTGAAGGCCAAACAGAATTCACCTAGGAACCAGATTTCCCCCATGACCACCAGTTTGCACCCTTTGGGATATAGCAGCAGTAGGTGGAATCTGGAGCAAAATAACGGCCTGAGTTGGAGTCAGAGACATCATGGGGGGAGGGGATGGCTTGGCCAGTGCTGTCTGAAGCATCTCTTCTGTGCCTGCCCCCATGGCCGTCTCCCTAGCTCCCTTGGCCAGTGGTAATTCCCTGCTGGCTGGTGCTTCCTTCTGCCTGTACAGCAATGGGCTCCCAAGAAACTCAACCAAGGAGAACATATGTGACTCCATGTCCAAAGGGGCCTGTTCATTTCTGTAAGATTAGAGCAGAAAGAATTTGGCCTAGGGGTTGTTCTCTGACAAAAATAGTTGTCCCTATTTATTGATTAATTTCTAGAAAACCGGGACCTGTGAGAGGTTTATGGTGGGCAGGAGCAGATGAGAGGAGAGATGTTTCTAGATATGTGAAACTTGTTATTCATAAAAAGAAAAAGATGACCAAAATGAGAAGGACCCACAGCCAGAATGGATTCTGTGTCTGTGACTGTTTCTGGAACTCTCATCCGAATGTGGTCTTCTTACTTTCAGAACCCACCTCACTTAAATGGCACTGGACCATTGAAGGAAACGCCGAGCAGTTCCATGTCGAGTCCTAATGGAAATTCCAATGTCAGCAGGGCTGGTCCTGTTAATGCTTCGACTTCTGTTCAAAACTGGTCAGTTAACAGGTCCTCAGTTATTCCAGAACATCCCAAGAAACAAAAAATCACGATCAGTATTCACAACAAGTTACCTGTTCGCCAATGTCAGTCTCAGCCTAACCTTCACAGCAATTCTTTGGAGAACCCAAACAAGCCTGTTCCCTCCTCTACCGTTACCAGTTCTTCCGCAATACAGTCTACCTCGAGTGCATCTGCGGCGTCGGTTTCTAGTAAAGTAACAAAGCAGATTACCCCGAGTGAGTCCTGTTCCAAGCCAGTGATGAACGGCAAGTCCAAGCTGAACTCAAGTGTCCTGGTCCCCTATGGCGCCGAGTCATCTGAAGAGTCTGACGAGGAGGCCAAGGGCCTAGGCAAGGAGAATGGTCTGGGTACGACCGAGAGCTTGCACTCTTCTGCTCAGGATGCTGAAGATGAGGAGGTCTCTCAGCACGAGCTTCGAGAACCTGTTACTCTAAATGGTGCTAATAGTACAGACAGCGACCTGAAAGAAAACGGTCTGTCATTTGATGGTGCCAGTTGCCAAGTCCAGCCCGCTCTACACTCGGAAAACCCCTTTTCTATGGCAAATGGTCTACTTGGAAAGGTGAGTGAGTGCCGGCTGGAGGGCAGGGAGGTTGGGGGGCGGTGGGCTTTGTTTTGCCTCTCAGTTATGGCAGTTCACTTGGCTGGATTTCAGGGGGCATGGAGTGGCAACTAGAGTTGAAATATCTTCGTTTTTTATTGTAGTTGGTGCCTGCTCCTCTGCCACCTCTCCCAGAAGACAAAATCTTAGAGACCTTCAAACTTAGCAACCAAGTGAAAGGCTCGACAGATGAAACGAGGTAAGATAATAAATTAGAGGAAATGAAACTGCATGATAGGAAATCACAGTAGTGCCTGTGGATGTGTTGCTATTTTCTCTCTGTGGAAGTCTTATAATGAACCTTTTGAATTCTGGAATGATGTGAATAATGATCTATAGAATTTGTTAATTTGCCTTTTAGAAAAGTAAAGAAAAAATTTATTAGGGGCTGATAGTCCATGAAAACTTGATGTCTTCAAGCTGGCATTTTCTTCTCCTGCATAGCCTTGTCTCTCTGGGGAGGGATGTTGTTAGCACACTTCTGAATTTGACACACAGCACTGTCTCGTTTAATCCCCTTAATGACAAATATATGAAGATATGTTAAGGTTATAGGGCAGGGGTTCTGCACTCTATCAAGTAGCAAATATTTCGTTATGCCCCCTCTAGAATTCTGAAATTAAATTCACAGATAAGACAATCTGTCTTCACACTTAATTTTTTTAAAAAAATCAATATGTTGACCTACCTGTAATATAGTGGGAATAAAAGGAAAGGAATTTATAATGCAGTGGTATTCCAGTCTGTAAACAACCAGACGAGACCGCACTGCTGCAGGACGCAATAATGCAGCCGGGGCCTTGCAGCTGTGCAAGTGACAGTTTAGAATGTGGCCTGATGTTGGGAGCTCAGTGCCACGCACAGATTCGCCGTAAGGGATGTAATGTCCTCATAGTGGACAACTTTTGGTGAAGTCTGACCAACTCTAGATTTACTTAGTAGTTGTGTTCCTGGAAAATCTAGTGTCCATGAAAACGGCCAATAATGTTATAACCGGAGTTTCTCCCCAGCAGGACGTGGATGTGGGACACTTGCGTGTCATGTGAGACTGCCTACTTTGCCCCCTGCCCACTAGTGCTAGTGGGGCTCCCCTATCATTGTGACAACCCGGAAATGCAGCCCACACTTCAGAGTGGCCCCTGGCCAGTGGGCATGCCCTCGCTGAGAATCACTGTCAGGAAGCTTAATTATTAAAACGGAATAGAGCCATCTGGTGGGCAGAGAACCCTCATTCCCCGTTTACCTTAAAGGTGGAATAGCTTGAGGACTCAGTCACTTGCAAAATGACTTTCCTATTGTTTCTTTCCTAGTCCAGCTCAGTTTGTCCTCACATGTAGCATGTGTGAGGATTCTTACAGACAGTTGTATAAACAAAGCCGTGCAATATTGCCCCTGAGCGTGTGCTGCTCTGCGTGCTGGCGTGAGACTCACTGGCGTGCTCTGGGGGACTTGTCTGTGTTGACTCTTTATGTGTTCTCTGATATTTTCCCACTAAACAGGGGCCACGCCAGGGTTTTTATTGTTTCCTGGCAGCTTTCATTAACCTCAAGAACACATCAAAAGCTCTGCAGCAGGCAGGGGCAGAGTCCATTTGCTACAGAAGGTTTTTCTAAAGCCTCGGTGATTCCTCACAGTTTATAAGTAATTCAGGGAGTGTTGGCTCTGTTTGGAGATAGCTACTCTGCCTCTGAGGCTCCAGGAGAAATTCAGAGAAAAAGAATCCAGAGGCAAAGTAAGAGCCCCAGTCATCGTTTGACTTTTTTGATAGTTCCAAAAAGACTTAGTTATTAAGAAGAATTAGAAGTATATCTGAAAACAGGAGGAGCCTAGAACTGCAGAATTATTGTTACTGAAAAATGGGGTAGGAGGTAGGCTTGATGTAAAATTTTATGTTTTTCTTTAATGAGAGAAAGAGAAAATTTGAAATTTCCAAAAACGATAAGCCCAATATTGGGTTTCAACCAGATAGATTAAAGGCATAAAATATTTAGTAAAGGGATGTTTTGAAGTGTTTGTCCCTGTAAGGCACTGACAAAACCCTATACAGCAGTCAAGCGGATGACTGATCTGTGTGTTTCTTTGTTTTGCTGGGGCTGCAGTACAACCAGGATGGAGGAGAGCCCTGCAGAGGGTCCTGAGGCAGACCCAGAGGCCAGCGGCCCCACTCCAGACGCCCGTGAGAAGCTGCAGACACTCACGAGTCTCAGCAGCAAGTTACAGAAGGCTCTGCTGCTCTCGGACTCCAGCGTCAAAGCTACCAAAGAAGAAGTCTTGGAGACCGTTTCAGCAAAGCCTGAGGAGTCTCTGCCCAATGTCAATGCTCTCTGTAACGCCAGCAGGAGTACCGTAGGGGACGATCAACTTTCTAAACTATGTGAGCCTGGGAATTTGACAAACGATCCGAGCAAACCATCCCAGGCTGTAAAAGGGACGTCACTAGAGAGTCCCCGGGACTCGGCAACCGTGGAAACAGTGGGGAGGTTGAGCCCGAGTTCCCTAGCGCGTTCCGAGGGTGACCGTGAGCATGAACGCGTAGTTTATAGCAGTCGAGACAAGTGCATGGACGTGGAGGACCCTTCCAAAAGCCCAGAGGTGTCTACAGTGGAGTTGCCCTCCCCTCAGTTAGACAAGATCACAGAAAATCATTTGGAGGGGCGTCCTGAACAAAGTAACGGTGAGAGATGTGAAGAAAATAGGGTTGCACAAAAAGTTCAGGATCATTCTCCAGTTAAGGAAAAAATCAGTGGCCTCAGAAAAGTTGATCGAGGACATTATCGCAACCGCAGAGATCGCTCCTCCAGTGGAGAGCGCGCGAGGGAAAGTAGGAGCAAGACCGAGGACCATTATCACAAAAGGCGGCACTGCTACGTGAGAGAGCGGGCCAAGCAGAACCGCCACAGGCCAGAACACTGCAATGGGAGCCAGCACCACCCGTGTCACGGAGAGAGAGGCAGCCCCAGTGAGCGCCGCTCCCTCGGCAGGTACAGCCACCACCACTCTCGAAATAGAGGCGGGTCAGACCAGGAATGGAGCAGGTACCACCATTCGGAAAGCGAACACTCCTGGGGCCGGGAGAAATACTACCTAGAGAAGATGAGATGGGACAAATGCAGGTATTACCACGACAGGTACGCCCCCTATCCAGCACGAGAGGTGTGGGAGTGGAAGCCTTTCCACGGTGACCGAGAGTATGACAAGGCAGGTCAGTACCCCAGCCGGCCGCACAGAGACTACTCTAAAAGCAAGAAGGGGTATGAGTTGGTTGCTAGAGAGAAGGGCCGTCACCATTTCAGCAACCTGCGAACAGGCCCACCCCACGCCCTTCCTCTGTACCCTGAGAAGTACGCCCAGGAGAAAGTTGCACTTGTAGCCGAAGACAACAGCTGTGACCTCGCTGATCGGTTTCACGAACACGATGATGTCAAGTCACGGAAACGGAGGTATGATAGTATAGAAAATCCTGACAGTCACGTAGGAAAGAAAGCCTGGAGAAGCTTACCACAGGATCCTTTAGGAGAGCTTAAAGTGAAGAAGCACAAAAAATCAAAGAAGAAAAAGAAATCCAAAGACAAACACCGAGATCGAGATTCCAGGTGAGGGTGTGGGGCGTGCAGGCAGTGGTGGGAGATGGTCAGCAGTCAGCTCAGTGTGGATTTCTCCCCTAACCCAGCTTAGCAGCCAGCGAAGGGCTATGTCACGTTTATATTAGTTTGATTTGTATTTTTCATCTCTGAAAAATGTGTTTTGAGATTGCACTATTTTTACAGATTTCTAAAGTTTATCTCTGCTTTTAAGCTATATCTTGTTTCATGGTATTGTAAAATGCCTGAAAACCTCATTTTTCAGAATTTTATATTGCCATTTGCAGTTAATGCCTTGTAACTTCTAGGAGTAAGTGTGCAATGTTCTGTAAATGAAAACTTGGGAGTCTTTGACTTCACGATTGGTGTTAATGTTCTTATTTGTCTGATGTAGTTTATTTTCATATCTGTTAAGCCTTTCTTTGAATTCAGTGACTACCAGGTGGGCAGAAAATGGGAGGCCGCCGTCCTTTTGCTCTTTGATTGGAGATGCATCATTTGTTGCCTTCGTCTGTTTTTCTGTCTCCATTTCTCAATTTGAAATCTAATTGGAAAATTTGTTTTCGTATTTCTAAAAAGTTAAATTGGTTGGTGGTTGTCTTGAAAGTGACTTAATCCGTGATGAGATGGATCAGCACAAACAGAATTACTGTACATTTTATAGTATGCATGTGACATCTCTGAGGAAGAGATTACCAAAGGCCATAGGGAAACAGACAGTGGTTACTTGAGGGAAAAGAATTCTAATCATTCACCTCCTCCCTCCTGTGTGCCTGAAACACCTGGCAAAAATATTTTTTCCCTCAGCCCCTAGTTTCAAGAAAAGTTAGCAAAATCCCCCTTCTCGTGTTTTAGCCAATACCTTAGCTCCTGAGCAAAGCTCAAGGCAATGGTGGGTTGAAGTTGGTGAATTTATGACCCCGGAATTAAGAAATTATTATAATGAAAACAAAAAACACATTTTTCATTAGATAAGAATTTTGCCTGTGTTTGTATAATGAGTGTCCACAGTAGTGGGTATAAAAGCCAAGGACCAGTTCTCTTTGAGGTGGCTTTGTGTTTGTTTGGTGGTGTGAATTCTGGCTGCTTCTTCTGCAGGCATCAGCAGGATTCAGATCTTTCAGTAGCATACTCTGATGCTGACCTCCACAGACACAAAAAAAAGAAGAAGAAAAAGAAGAGACACTCAAGGAAATCAGAGGACTTTGTTAAAGATTCAGAACTACACTTACGGAAGGCCGCCAGCTATGAGACTGTTGACCATTTCCGGAGGACTGACGGTGGCTTTCTCCTCACCGATGGCCTGCCTCTGGAAGGTGTTGGACCTTTCTGTGAGAAAACAAAACACTTCAGGATGGAAAGCAGGGATGACAGGTGTCATCTGTCTGAGTGTGGCCAGGGTAAGAGGAGATACTCGGAATTAAGAACATAGGAACTGTTTTTGTTGGAAGAGGGGATTAACACAGGGGAAGAAAAGCTCCGATGGTGTGAAAGGGTGCCCGTCCCTGCGAGCCCCGGCACTCTGCTCCCTCGGCCTCGACTCCTGGACGGAGACGCGCCTCAGCTGCGTGGTCTGGATGTTTAGCACTGATCCCTTAGCATTTACTGAAAACCCGAGTCACACGGAACCGGGCCCAGCAGAACCTCTGTCATCAGCCCTCTGGAACTTATGGCTCTGGGTATCTGAGTATTTGTCTCATGAAGGACCAGAACTTTGGTTTTTAAGCCATTTCTGATAGAAGTATTTTTGCAGTATATTCTCTCTCTCCTAAATCCTTAAACCTCTAGCATTCTGAGTATAACCGGAAACTCGGTGTGATGACTTCGGTCATCGGCACAGCAGCCGGTGGCCCCTGGCCGAGCGATGCCTCTGCGGCATCTGTGCTGGGGGCTTTGGCTCCTGAGGAGTCGGCCTCTGCCGGCTGGGCTGGCTTGCATTCCTGGCTGCTTTGCACAACTCCATCTTCCCTTGTAATTTCGTAGCCCTTTCTACTCTCCGACTGCCCTTAAAGCAGCTCCTCTCCTCTCTCACTTGCTTCGGTGGCCTTTGGCTCTGGAGGGCAGTGCTGCACTTGTTGGGCGTGGGTGTAGTGTAGGAGCCAGGGACGGAGAGCAGGGCTTGGCAAACTGCAGCCTGTCTGTGTGCGGCCTGCCAGTTAAGAATGGCTTTCACATTTCTAAGTGGTTGGAAAAGTCCAAAGAACATCATTTCGTTTCACATGAAAATTACGTGAAGTTGACATTTCAGTGTCTAGAGTTACACTGGAGCCCAGCCCAGCTTACTCGTTTACACAGCGTCTCACAGCTTTGGTGCACACAGCAGAGCGAGTCATTGCAAGGAGACCGAATGGCCCAAAAAGCTGAACATGTTTGTCATCTGGGCTTTCGTGGAGAAAGTTTGCCGACCCCTGCCCTAGACACCTGAGGTGCCATGTCGTGACTGACATGTCACCTTGGTTGCACAGAGGCCTCTTGGTTCTCAACTGTGTCTTGGGTTTGGGTGAGATGTCGTGTGTTATGGGGGCAGGCCCATCCCCTCCGGTGGCCCACAGTCAGTGTGTGATTGTTGACTGAGGAGGGACAGATGGCCCCACAGAGAGTTGGCGTTAGGGGAGAACCAGGTAACATGAGGGATAGAATGTTCCCCCGGAGGGGAAGCGCTGTGGGCACTCGGTGTGGCAGGGAGCAGATGAGGAGAACTGCCACCGCCAGCAGAAGGTGAAGCTGCAGTGGTATTTGCTCTGTGTGTTTTTAAAGAAATCAGTATATGCATTTTCAGGTTGGCTTCCCATGAACATTTCAGCAGTTTGGAGAAGGGGTTTTGGTAAGGATTGAGTCCTTCTGACCTCTGCTTGGTGCTTGGGCTGAAGTAGTGAGAGGGGCTGTTGTGCATACTGGGCAGGGCCCCAGGGGATTCTACATGTTGCCAGAATCTTCCTTCCCCTTCAGGCTGCAGGTCTCTCTCATAAGGAGCACAGCCAGAGGCCACCCGTGCAAGTGGGTGGCAGCCCACCCAAAGAGATGGCTCTGGGGGGAAAGTAGGTTGAGTGCGAACCTCGGTAGGCGGCATTTGGTGGCCCAGGCACGTGTTTCCAGGGACTCAGTCAGGCTTTGTGTGGAGCAGTGGCCCTGTGTTCCTGTTCTTGATCCAAGTGCACCCCACGACGGGTGTGCAGCCAGCACTTCTGCTGTGAGCGGGCTGAGGAGCCCACGTGCCTGTCCCATTCTGTCCTCCCCAAGAAGGGCCGCCTGCTTGGCCTTCGATGCCAAGCATCCCTGCCATCTGGCTGAGGACAGACCCTTTGTCTGCCACATGTCCTCTGTCCTTGTACCTTGACCACTTACCTCTTCCTGTGACACTCCTGTTCTCTGGCTCCATTAAACTCTCCATTTATTTGGCCTCAGGTCCATTCTCTGTACTGTTAAATGCTGATCATTTGATGGGGCGAGAGTGGACTGTGCCCCCGAGGGTACGGCTTTCCACTGGGACCAGCGGCCCTCGGTCATCTCACAAACTCTTGCTTTCAGTGAAGCCCTTGGAGAAGTAGCTACGTGACAGCATATCCTTGCTCCTCCTCGTGTAGCAGTGATTTCAGGCAACAGACAGTAAACTACTGAGAACTGATTCTAAGTGTGACCACTTCATGCAAGCACACAGCATAGGCACTAACAATTTTGCAAAACCATCATTAAAATCTCTTTCCTAACCTTTGCTTTCTAGGTGATTGAAAACTTGGCCTCAAAACAAAAAATTCACTAGTTATGGTAAGCTGTTTTCCTATCTGTTTCATTATCGTAGTGGCACTGAGGGCACGCGGGCAGCACTATGGGAGCAGGGGCGGCAGACCCTCTGACCTCCAGGCTGGGTGCTGGAGCTGTGCTGAGACTCCTCTCCTCCTCAATTCCGCTGGGGGCTATTTACTCTGTCGCCTGCCTCCCCTCATTGTAAGAAAATGAGGGAAAGTTTAAAGCACCCCAATCAACAGTCATTTGGTAAATGGAGAGATGGAGAAGCCCTTTTCCTTGCCCAGACCTACGTAACTGGCCTGGGAGGAGCCCCTGGAATCGAAATCTCTGTGCCTTCAGACCCCCTCCCGGCCCCTGTGCTTCGGCAACGTGGGGTAGCACACCCCACACTGTGCACACTCAGCCGCTGGCACAGCGCCCGGCCGGGAGCACCGAGTCGCATGGGCAGACTAGAAATCACCGAGGCGTGTGACCTCGCACCACCACTGCAGACGAAAAGGACTTGGCTTTAGTTGAATAAAGTTTGGGTGCTTTATAGCAGATCAGAACCTTGAGTATCAAGTAATTTCCTACTGGAATGTCATTCAGTGGCCCCAGGAGACAGTAATTTATGTTTTGGGCTCTGTACTTGCTGAGGTAAAGGGGAGAGGGAGCCATTTTGCTCTTGAAAGGGAGTTTTGTCCAAATGTGTAACGTCTAATCAGCGAAGGGGATTTTAAATGAATTTCAGCGAGTTGTCTACAGAAGATTAATTTGCAGTTAATTAACATGCTTTATCAATGTGCCCTCAAGGGAAAGACCTAAACCTAATTAAGAAATCAGACTCGTCCTTAGTGAAAGGGAATTGAAGGATTGCCACGGATTAGCGGCAGTCTGGGTCTGGCGGGCACTGTCCACGCCCAGCAGATGGCGCCCTCCTCCCTGAGCTGCCTTCGGCTCCCTCTGCACGGCGTCCGGAACTGCCCAGTTCCCTTATTGCCACTCAGGAAGGCAAGGTCAGCGTTCTAAGGAAGAAGAGCTTCCCCAAAGACCTGGGGAACCTAGGAATAAATCATTAGTGTTTTGAAGAGAGGCCCCGCCCGCTGGGGACTCCCCGAGCCCTTTGTCTCCCAAGTTCCTGCCTAACGCCTGCCGCCTCTTGTCTTTCAGATTCAACGTGTTCAACAGAAGCCATCCCCAACCCAGCTTAAATTATAAATATAGAAAAGAACTTTGTTCAAATCTGCGTGGTGCTTCTCTAGTAAATACTGTACAGATTTTACCATGGAGAACTTTTTTTTTTAGTTTTTACCTTTTCTTAATTACCCTTATTCCAAATGGATGAACACTTTCTACAACTGCTGACCATTGTAAAATACCTTGTATATAAACCACATTGAAAATAACGCCCTGGACTAGAACATCTCAAATGCTGCTTAATCACAGACTCAGGTTGATCACTCGTATTCCATGTAATGCTCCTCCAAGTTAGTTAGACAGCCGGTGCAAGACCAACCGGGAAACCATGGAATTACTAAAAGTACAAACTGACAGTGTGTATATTTAATTTAAAGACTTATTTAAAGATTCACAAGCTCTCAGCGAGACTTTTGAGAGCAGTGTGTTTTCTGTAATGTCTGATACTAGAAACTAATTTGCTTCATATTTTAGTTGTATTCAAGATTTGAAGATGTATTTTATAGACAAGTTCTGTTTTTGAACTTTGTGGAACTATTCCAATCAATTTACCAGTTATGATGAGTATTTACATTATGAATGTATAATCCAAACATTATTTGTAAAGCCTACAGTATGTTTTTATTACATAACACTTTTTTATACAGTGTCTCTTGTCTTGACTATGATATTGGAGTCTGAGTTGTCAGCTTGGTCCCTTAAAGTTTCTAGTTACAGACAAAATCATACTGTGATTTTATTTTTAATATGGATATGCTATCAAACTGTGATACACTTATAATTCACTGGTCCTGCATCAGGAGATGGAGTGGGGAAAACTGTATTTAATACAGTTTGTATCTGAATAATCTGTATGGTTTATACAGTTTGTGTTGTTCAGAAATGTCTAAAGTTTGATCTTTGTTTTTTTAAAGATTAAAAAAGCACTTGCCCCACTGTAAATATACAGCATGTAAAATTTATATAGTATATAAATGGCAGCAAATCAAACATCTTGTGTCTTATTTTTTACTGCTGTTTTCCCCGTCTGCTTACAGACCTTTCTCACTTCCTCCCTCCTGTCGCATTCACTGCCTTAAAACCCCTGAAGGTCAAGCCTCCAGCTCTCCCCCGGCCTGGACGTGCACACAGCACGGAGGGGGTTGCTGGACCTGACAGTCTATTTTAAAGAACCAAGTCTTACACAATCTTAACAGTGTGTTTGATTTTTATTTAGTGAACACAGTATTTGCAATTTGACAGCCATACACCCTCCAATTTTACTATTTACTTTACAACAAAATATCAATATAGGATATTTCTTCATGCAAGTTGTGGGAGTATATACATTGAATAACAAACACTGCAGAAATCAATATATATGTACATTATTTACATATTAACTATTTACTGTAAATAGAAATGTTTTCTAAGAAAAAATAAGAAAATGAGAAATCACAACGTGGTTTCTGGTCTAGAACAGACCTAACTTCTCGGCAAAGCACATCTATGCAGATATACGCACTTTAACTTTAAAAGTATGCATTGCTTTTTATGAAGCATTAAATGCTGCTTCATCTATAAATAGCTCCTATTTGGATTCAGTTTGGTACCACATTAAACTGCTCAAAAATGTTCTGTGATCCTGAAGACACTGTTGCTTGTCTGGGTCCAGGGTCATCCAATTACACCTCACGTTAACAGGCTGGTGGGGCTGTGGAAGCCGCCGCCTCCCACCCACCAACCCCTTTACTGCCTCTGGTCCCTTGTCTCTGGGAGAAAGCTTGTCTTTGGCCAGAGTTGGAACGACCGATTCAAGGACTGAGCGCAGACATGGGGGTGGGGGGAAGGATGAACATGAACTCGTTGAGGTTCAGGCCACTAGGCCTGCGGCCACAGGCCCGCCTCACACAGCCCCTGAACCTGGTGGGTTTTCTGGACCGGGCCTGCCTGAGGGCTTAGCAGGAGTGACAGTTGTCTGCCTGTCAGCTTAATACTGTCATCACAATGAAACCCGGAATTAGATGATTGCACGTAACACTGATGGCAAGTTAGATTCTAAGCACCATGGCCTTCTGCATCATTCCTGGGGAACTGGCCACCAGGTGGGCGCCTGCACAGATACCCAGAGAAACAGATTCTTACAGTGTCCCTGATGCTCGCTTCTCCCAACCTCACCTGAGGCCAAACCCAAGAGACAGAAAGCCTGGAATCCCCAGGGTCCTCCCTGGGTCAGACAAAGGAGACAGAGACTGGTTTTTCCACGTGAAATACTGATCTAGCAGCCCGCGGGCCATCCTGGCTGGGGGCCGCTTGAGGCGGCGTCAGCAGTGTGTGGTCTGGTGGTCCAGGCAGCTTCTCTGTTTTCATGGAAGACTGGAGGCCAGAGTTGCATATATACCAGTCGCATTTCAAGAATGCCCACTTGCCTTTCTCAAAAACTAAAGTTTCAAATTTGAGGTATCGGTGCAGTAACAAAGCCTAAAAGCTTGGGAATTAACCAAAAAAATCAGTTTGATGCATGTCAGAGAGTCATGGGCTCAGAGCCCTCCGCCGTCTAGTGTGACTTAAAGCTACGTCAAGGTCAGCTGCAGGGGGCCAGGGGCCCACAGCCCACAGGCTCCGCATCAAGGCAAGGCATAGGAACAGGAACTTCTGTGGAAGTCTCCACGGCAGTGCCGACAGGCTGAGGTGTTCCTTTCTAGACTTGCATTTCGCATAGGAGGAGTTAACGACCTCTGCAGGGTGCAAACTCAGGGTGTGCTCGCAGATGGGGCAGGGGGAGGCACCTCGGGGGGGAACAGCCACGTGGGTGAGGGGGTCCGATGTGCTGTATGCAGGGGTCCTGGCAGCGGAAATCAAGCTCCCAATAAAAAGAAAGGCACCTGCCCCTGGCCCTGTCCTGAGGAACAGCAGCGTCTTGTCCCAGCCCAGAGCCCCTCGGCCTCGCCCACGTGTGCCCCTCGGTCTGGTTCTGTGATGCGCTGGCCCGAGAGGCAGCCTCCCTTCAGCAAACATACTGAGCACCGACCGTAAGCCAGTGGCAACCCGCCCACCTCCCAGTCGTGGATCTTCACAAGTTCCACCACCAGCAGATACTTGGGGTTTTAAACTATTTACAGAAAATCCTAAGTGCCACCCATCTTCCTCCCACAGCTTGAGCTCTCCCTCCTCACAATGGGAGATTAAATCTCTGAAAACACGGAATAAGATTATTTCTAATTACCTATCTTTCTATACATTACATTAAGAAATCTGGTCAAATTATTATCAGGTCAGTAAAATAAGCGTTCATTTTGCCAAAAGGTTTTAAACAGTGAAGACAGTGGTCAAAAGCCAGTCTGGACCACGTGTTCAGTTGAACCATAAAACTGCTGTTTGTGGGGGGTCAAAACCAGTCAAATATTAGCAGTTTCATCTGGTTCAACATCTAGACTACCTGTGCTGGGAGTCAATTACAGGATAAACACCCAAAACCATAATTTGTATTTTAATGATTTGCCTTTTTAGAAAGTATGTGTGGGGCCACAAAGTCTGAGCTGGTGCGAGGTCCCGGGGACCTGGACACCTGGAGCCATGGCCCTGCCCAGTGCGTGTCGCCCTCACGGACATGGGGCACCTCGCTCCATCAGGAGCCATGAGGGCGCCCCACGCTCACAGGAAGGCCCCACACAGCACCTGCCCCGCCCCGGCCCGCCCGCCTCTGGCGCTGCATACATGTGTATATATAGCATTTTTTTCAGTGCACAGTACATACTTGTGTCCAGGAGTTAAACTTATAGCTGCCATTCTAAAAATACTACTGTTAGAAAGTATCTCTCATAATAATTTCAGAATATAAAAAGGCATATAAAAGCTATAATCGTATACATCTGAGGAAAAAAACTCTGAATAAAAAAGTGGTAGCTTTTCCTTTCCTGCTTTGCTATACATCGGCGGCTTCTAGAATGGTCAGCACCGCCACGATGAGCACACGTGGCACCACTGGTGGGAGCGAGGCTCCCTGCGGCGGAACCGACCCGGAGTCAGAGTCCCGGGCGGCGACTGCGAGGAGGGCGGCGGCGGACATCTGCTGCGGGCGGGCGGGCGGGCGGCTCGGCGAGAAGGGAGGGCTCCGGGCGCTCACCGGCTGATGACATCCCAGACGCGCTCCTGCGGCCTCGGGGCGACCCCAGAGCAGTGGCCCCCGTGAAGCCGCGAGCACTGCCTCCCGAGACGCCCACGGGGTCCAGGGCGTCCCGGGGAGGGCCCAGTCCCTCTCTGCTGTGGGATTTTGGTTCTTTCTTTTACCTGTTCAGGCCAGGAAAGCTCTATTTTTTATTGGCAATCCTCCTTTTCCGTGTGGCCAACATGTCATAGAAAGGATCCCTACTGATGCTCGCTCTGGGGAAAAAAAGAAAAAGTCTGGGTTAGGTTGGCGTGTGGGCCCTCCCGCCCCGGAAGGGAGGCGGGAGGAGCAGAGCGGCGGCTCCGCGTGTCTGCAGGCAGCGGGCTCAGTTCTCGCACGCACAAGCACAGGCGCGCGTGTGGACACGCATCTTCTCTCAGTCTCTAACTGCACCGTCCCCAGACAACGGACCCGGAGGCCCGGGCTCTGAGCCTCCACACACCTGATGGACTTCATCCACTCCTCCTTCTCCTCGGGGCTCGGCGCGGAGATGCGGTACACCACGTGGTTGCCCTCCACCACCCGGCCGTCAGCCTCCGTCTTACAGGCTTTGATGACCTGCCCTTTGTGGCTGGGGTTATAAAGCTCGAAGCAGTTCTGGTGGAGACAGGGAGAGGGGTCGTCACTCCCCGCCGGGGCCCCAGCGAGTGAGGCTCCAAGCCGGCTGGGAGGAGAGAAGTTGCAAGGGAGAGCCGGCTTACGGGTTTCCGGGGGTCCTCGACCTCCCTGATGCTGAGGTTCTCCAGCGGGATGATGCCCCTGGGCTCCTTGTCCTAGGAGAGAAGAGCCACGGCGCCCCCTCAGCTCGAGGCCGCAGGGCGCGCGCAGCCCGCCGCCCGCCCACTCACCGTGGTGTACTCGAAGTAGTACAGGCAGTTGTCGGTCAGGATGAACCACCGCCGCTTCCAGGTCTTCACGCGCCCCCCTGAAAGCAGAGGCCTCGAGGGTCAGCGCGGGGCGGGCGGGGGTCTGCAGCCCCGAAGGGCGGGGCCCGGCCCTACACTAATTCCTGGAGTTTTAGAAACGCCAAGCTTCGCTTTACGTTTCCTTCCTCGTGAAAATTCCAACCTTCCACCCAACACTCAGCCAAGCCCTGGGCAGGCCGCGTGGCCTGGGCACTCGGGCCTCTCGCCGCCTGGCGACCCGTGGGCGCACGGCTGCGGGGCCCCGCATGCACCACCCCCACCCCAGGCCTGCCCCGCGCCCTCTCCACGGCCAGCTAGATAACTCAGTCGCTTCCCAAATCTGCTTCCTGGAAGAGTTAGTGGTGATGAATGGGCTCAGTCTCCCCACATGGAAATGACAGGAGGATGAAGTCAGCGCGCTCCGGCCTGCCTGGGACTTAATCCCGTTACTGCCGCCCTTATCACATTACTGAGCACTCTGGGCGGCCCTGGGATCCATCAAAACCTATTACTCCTTGGCCCAGGGAATTATTAGATTGAATTAAGCTCTTAACAAGATCTGGGACCCGCATGGACGGACACACACACACACACACACACACACACACACACACAGCCTGTCTGCATTTGCTCGCCTCTCACGACAGAACACAGTCTTTTTACCCTTAAATATTCAGCAGAGACAAACTGGCTTCAATTTCTAGCCCTGTGTTTCTGACATGAAGTTTTTTTGGAAAAAAAAAAAAAAGAAAAAGAAAAACATGCACATGGTAACAGAGTCAAGCGACACAAGGGCACAAGGTCAGAGGCCTCTCCCTGCCCCATGGCTCCCCAACGTGACCGTGGTGACATTCAGGGGTGAGCTTGCCAACCTTTCTCTGCAACATGTAAGCAGGTGAGTGTCGTCAGGGCTGAGGGGTCACAGACCCCGTCACCACACAGACGCGTGGAGACAGGATGAGGGAAGGTCACGTGGGTCACAGGGGGACATGAAGGGACATTTGTCGGCCCTCAGGTCATCCCAGGGCTGAGGCACGAGGGTTCCCTGACCTCTGATGTTTGCAGAGATCCAGGCGGGGGAGACACCTGGCTTCGGGGAGGGAGGGAGGGAGCCCCGGCTGCTGGGATTTGGCACCACTGGATGGGCCCTCAGAGACCCCTCTGGGGACCCCCACCCCCACCCCCGCCTCACTGATGCTTCCTCCTTTTTTTTTTCTTGGTGAGAAAGATTAGCCCTGAGCTAACATCTGTTGCCAATCCTCCTCTTTTTGCTGAAGAAGATTAGCTCTGAGCTAACATCCATGCCCATCTTTCTCCACTTTATATGTGGGATGCTGCCACAGCATGGCTTGACAAGCAGTGCGTCGGTCCACGCCCAGGATCCGAACCTGTGACCCCTGGGCCGCCTAAGTGGAGCATGTAAACTTAACCACTGCAGCACCCGGGTGGCCCCATCCTTCCTCCTTTTGATGGCCTCAGGCAGCCCGAACCAGGAGCCTCGGCATGCTGAGAAGGAAAGTCCAGGCGCATCTCCCCTCTTCCTGACTTCCCCTGGGCTCCCCCACCTCACTTCCAGCCCTTGTCAGAAGGGTCTGACCATGTGCTTCTCCAAAATTCCTGCTGCACCCGTCTTGGCCCTAGACCGTAGCCCAGCCCCCCAGCTCGTGCCTTTGTGCCCCAGGGCCTTTGCTCAAGCTGCTCCTGAGCCTGGAGCCACATCCCCACCCCCCAACATATCTCTAACCCCAGAGCTGGGCTCTTGCTCTCCAAACCCCTGTGTGCAGCTTCACCAGGGCTCTCTCAGCATTCCACTGGAATCCTCTACTCTCCACTGGACGGGGCCTCTTATTTGTTCCCTTTAGGACCCAGAACAGGGCCAGGCGTCAGCAGCCCACAGGGCACATGGTGATCCTGGTCTCAGCTGGGCTTCATTCCCCCACCTCCACTGAAGCATTACAGGGAGGCCCAAGTTCACATGGAGGGGGCCCAGGAGACCCTCGGGGCAACTCTGCCTTGTCCCCAAGTCCTCCAGGGAGAGGGGACAGTGCTGATTCTCCCCAGGCACGTCCCCTCAGCCCCGAGCCACTGTGAAGGAGTCACTGACAACTCCCTCCGCCTCCCTCCACTGCAGCCTTTCCCCAGCTGCCCTGGTGCTGGGCCAGGACGCCCTCCTGCCCCACGCCAGCCCCACGGCTGCCCCAAACAGCAGCCTGAGGCATCTTCTGAAAAAATAAACTGATCCCACCTCTCACTGCCTGAAGCCCCCAAAGGTTCCCAATCCCCCAGCCTAAGAGCCAAACCCCTCAGACGGCCTCCAAGGCCTCCTCCTGGCTCTCGTCTCCGGGCCCTGGCCCTTCTGTTCAGCCACCACGCTGGCCTGAGCCTTGACACTCCTCCCAGCACCTTCCCGCCACTAAGTTCCACTAGCAATTTCTCAGAGTGTCTTCCCAGGAGCCCTGCGTGTCCGTCTGTCCAGCGCCTGCTCTTCCCTCGGTGTTCCTGTCACTGGGTGGCCGCCTGTGTGTTCTGCTCGCCCGCAGGCCCCATGCCTATCACCAACCCTGGATCGCCAGCTGCCAGGAGAGGTGGCTTTGCCAGGAAGGCCTCTCGGCTCTGCACCTGGGCTCCTGGCCCACAGCTCCCGAGTTCAGGGGCACGTCTCGGGGAGCCCAAGTCTGGTCCAGGTCTCGGGGCCAGGGGAGCCTTGCAGGCCAGGGGCTGCGGGCATCTAGATTGAGGCCCCTGAGTCCACCCCGGGTCCCCTTTCAGCTCCGCGGGTGAGCCCAGCAAGGGCCAGGGGGTCAGGCCCTTGGTGTCAGAGCCACAGCAGGTTCTGCGGCAGGGAGACCGAGAGGCTCAGCTCACGCATGTGCTTCTGGCTGAGCTTCAGGAGACAGGGACACACCCACAGCCCTCGTGCCTGCAGAAAGGAGCCCGGCTTCTCCATGTGCTCTTTGCACAGTTCCCGCTATTTTCATGGCTGTTACCAGGCACATGCCTGCATACACACCTAACACACCCACAAAGAGTACACACACACACACCTGCAACATGTACTTTTTTACGCATGACAGCTCAACTCTGACCCACATTCCTATCTGTTTTTAATACAACTGATTTGTTCTCAAAACTCAGTGACTGCTGTATTGTAAGGTTTTCCCTGATGACCATTAAGCGACACCAACGCTCCTACGCTCCCGCAAAGCACCCAAGCCTTGCGAAGGGCCACCTGCCCTAAGACTAAATCTACGATGAGAAACAACTAAGCAAGTCACACTGCGATTCCCTTTTCTATCTGAGCAGGTGCGTGGAGCACATGTTCTGTTCTCTACGCCTGTCTCATGCCCCCAGCCACGCACCTCTGTGTCCAGGCCCGTGTCCGTCCTGTGCTAGGGGGGTGCCTGGAGCTGAGGGCAGGGACCACGCCCAGGGCCGACAATGCCTCTTCAGCATCCACTTCCAGCAGATTTCCTGCCTCCCTGTCCTCAGAGACTGACATCCCCAGTCTCTGGTGGCCAAGCCATCCTCAAACCTGTTGGGAGGAGGACTGTGGGCAGAGGGTCTCCGGGCACCTGGGCTGGTGCTGCTAGGCAGGGCGGGAGCCCTGAAGACAGCAGCCCACTGGGAACCCACGCTCTGCACAGGAATAGCTCTGAGGACAGAGTGGATACAGAGGCTGCTGGGCACGAGAGGCAGTGGCGGCCTTGCTGAGGCTCTCGGGCCACAGCTCCCGGTCATCACCAGGCCAGCGGGCTCGAGGTCTGAGCAGCACCAGCATCACTAGCTTTCTGGCCGCCAACGAGAACACCAGCACTGGGACCCCCCTTCACACAGACACGTGCAGGAGCTGTAGGAGCACAGAAGGAGCAGACCCAAGGCCCCCCGCTGTCCCCCGTGCCAAGGCCACATCTAGCTGCCTCTGGCTACTCAGGCCCTCACCAGGGCCAGCCAGCTCTGCAGCTCCTAGGAGTGCTCTGTGCACTGATTTCTAGGCCCACTTATCTGCTCAGCCAGAAAACAGGCTGGAAAAGAAGCCACTGGACCTTCATTTCCCTCACTCTGTTCTGTCTTGAGAGCCAGCCGCAGCCCCACTGGCTGCCAGGCGGGCCTGCACTGTCCCCGTCCCGAGAGGGGCACTTGCTGGCAATGCAGGAACGGGAAGGCCCACGTGCAACTGCTGGTATTGTGGCTGCACCCTCTGCCCTCACCCAGGACCACAGGTGTGACGTCATCTCCCGGGTTACTCAGGCACTCAAGTCCAAGGCTATGGTTCTGGGCTTTTAGGCAAAGATCCAGAACTCTCCCAAACCTCAGCATGGCCAGAAAAAAACAGAGCAAGACCCCAAATTGTAACAGCAGACCTGTGGCGCACACCCCCACGCCTGCTACACTGTCACCATGCCCGTGTCTCCTCCCCTCAATTAAAAACACAAAATCACCAGAATTCTCATAGGCCTCAGTGTCTTACAATCTGTTCTCAAAGTGCCTGGATGATACACAGTTGTCACATCTCACAGGCTCTAATGTCACAGTAAAGCAAAAATCCCAACCCCCTAGAGTCAAAAAACCCCTACCAATACCTAGAATTGCCTAGAAAACCAAAAGGCTATTCTACTTCATTCTCAATGGCTTGGAAGCCTGTACAATGCGTGTGGACTGGCTCCACAGGTGATATAAACATGCGCAGCTGGGTTAGTATGAGGGGCGACTGGTGAGACTGCAGGAAGGCAGCCGGCTATTAGCCACCTCACTGCTGCCCCTACAGACAGAGGAGCGAGCCTGTTCCCACACAGCATTCCCATGCGCCCATGCGCCTCTGGTCCCGGGAGCAGAAAGGTTGGCCTTCTGGCCACTCCTCGCCCAGCCACGCAGTGTGGGTGTCGCATTCTCTGCACCCTGCATGACGCTAACCCCAGCAAGTCCAAAGCCACATGGGTCAGATGAATGGCAGCCACAAATCAGAGCTTCACACGAACCAACGGAGGAGAGAAACCGAGAGAGGAATGAGCAGCTGGGGAAGGGCAGGAAGCCACTGGGTACGTACCTCCTAACGCAGAACAAGCAGGGACAGCCCGTCACAGAACAGAAAGGTGGGAGCCACAGGCAGAAGGGAAACAATAAGAAGGCACATTTAAACCACTCATCAAAAATCAGCCACACCAAACCAACAGAAAGGCACGCAGGTTCTCAGAGGCCAGTGCACCTGCTTTTTGTACCGAAAACTGCCTTGGGTTTATCTAGACACTAACTGAGCAGTTTTCTGGGAGGTTCGTGCAGCCCAGGCGTCCTTCTCGGCCACAGACACTGACAGGATCGCCTCGTTCAGACAGGGCACGATTCAAAGCAGCAGCCAGCGAGTCTGGGACGGGCGGCCAGCCGCCGAGAGCGGATTTTGGCCTCTCGCATTCTTGGTAACGTTCCCGCCTTTGGTCAGGGGCCTTCGCTGGGAGGAGCGCGGAAGGCACTGGGCGGGAGCTGGTGCCCTGGGCTGGGGGCAAGGAGCGCGGTCCCGCCCCGCCAGCCGCCACTCACCCAGCTTCAGGAGCCAGCCCTCGCGGTCGGGGTTGAAGAAGGTGTGCGTCAGGTCATTGCCGTCGTCCTCCGGGATCTTAAATGGCTCGTTCTTGATGCTCTCGTACAAGTTCTGCGAGGAGGAAAAGTGACGGCCCACTGAGGAGAGACGACCCGTCCTTCCCTCCCTGCCAAGTGGAAAAGCAGCATCAGGCCCAGCGGGACCAGGGAGGCCACGGGGCTCTCTAAAGACACTTTAAAATAAATGAACGGGCACTGCCCAAGGTCATGGGCAGAATGTGACACTCCTGAGCGCCAAGGACAAGTTAAGGGCCAGAGAGGAGGAGGGAGAAGGCTAGGACACAGCAGGAAGCAGGCCGGGAGCAGCTCACCCTCAGCAGCTCCTCTGGGAGGTCCCCTCCCTCATTGATGCCCCTGTTCATGGTGATGAACCGCTCGGCCGTGGGCTTGTCCCGCACGTTGTGGTTATGGAGGCTGGTGTTGAGCATGATGATGGCGAACGACAGCACGTAGCACGTGTCTGAAAGAGGTCAGAGGGCGGCAGGGAGCGCTCAGGGCCTGTGAAGCCGAGAAGCTGGTCTAGAATTTCTATGTAAGAGGCAGATCCATGCGTGTGGGTGGCACGGCCCTGGGGATGCCTGAGTGGGCAGAGGGGGCCTGGCTGCCGTCCCGGCTCAGAGCAGGCAGGTCCACGACACAAACCCTGGGGCTCTGACAAGGGGCCGGGGCCGCAGCTCTGTCACTGACCTGTGGACTGGAAGACGCCGGGGTTACACAGGCAGTAGCGTGATGCGAACGCCTCCATCATGCGGTCAATTTTCTGAGCCTCCCCGGGAAGTCTGAAGCTCCACAAGAACTGCCTGCAGAGAAACGAACCCAGGGAATGAGCGTGTTTCCACGGCCCCAGCCTCACGTGCCCGGCCCCAGGGAGGACACCACGTGCACGGAGCAGGTGTGCAGTCGGTGCAGGTGATGCCTCAGCCGTCGAGAGGCCCCCGACCTGACCAGGTAACTCCCCGGGGGCGAGCACCACGTGGGCCATCGGACAGGACAGGCGCCAGAGGGATGACAGGGAACTGCGGGGCAGCAGAGCCCGAGGATCCACTGGGCAGCTACCTGCCCTCAGCCGTCCACTGCAGGGCCAGCTGGATGTCCACACCTGCAGGAGCTAGGCAGGAATCCCTGTGGCTCTGGGCCAGAGACTAACCAGCTAAAAGAAACAGCATCCTGGCTGCCATGACTGCACTGTAGACGCACCCCGACACACCAGGCCTGCACTTCTCTGTGACGCAGCGTTTTCAAAAACTGAATCTAAACTCCTGAATCCCAGCTGCAGGAGTCACACCTGTCACCACACTGTTCAGCCCAGGCCAGCTCTGAGCACACGGGCGCAAGGGTCAGACAGCAACGCCACTGCCACCTCAGTCCACAGCTGAGGGACGGCCACAAGGAATAAGAGCTCACGCCGGGGCAGAGCCTAGAAGGGCAGAGCCGAGACCAGGACCAAACAACATGGTGAGTCACATGCTTCCCAGCCTCAGGGCAGGCAGGGGCTCGCTCACAGCAGGGACCCCACAGCCGCTGGGCGGTGGGCTCAGGGCTCCTCCCCTCCAGGACCCAGACCAGATGGAGAGCCAGCGCTGATCAGGCGTGAGGCGCAGCCATTGGGGCCTCAGCCTGGACACCAGGGAAGGAAGCTGGATCCTCAGCGGTGCAGGAAGAGGAGAGCGTACAGGAGGGTGACTCGAGTGGACGTCTGGAGAGACGGCACCGGCCCCTCTGCTCCAGCGGCAGGCCTAACTCAGGGCCGCATGAGGGTGTCCGAGAGCCGTCCACTCTCATGACACCCAGTGATGCCTGGCTTTCCCAGATGAGACTGGGACTAGAGGTGGCCTCCAATGGCAGGAAATCCACACCCTCCCTGGCACACGCTGGGCATCCACATGGTTGCTGTTCGAGGCCAAATGTGGCAGGAAGCGGGCCTGTGCCTGGGCGGCACTGAGACCACGCCGCAGAAGTGGGAAGAAAGCATGCATACATCTGCCAAATGTCATTAAAAATAAAGGAAAACAAAGGAACTGCGAGGGGAACGCAGAACCAGCGGCCACAACGAGGCGAGCGTGAGCCCCTGTCCCGGGTGCGGTTCTGGAGAGACCGCCTGAAATGAGGAGTGCCTGTGTCCCCGAGACGCGGGCGGCCCTCCCGGCCACCTGGAGTGGATCAGCAACCCTCCTGCCCAGGCCCCAGGACCCTGCCGGCCCTCCTTCTCTGACAGCACGGGACGGAATACTCACCTCAAGGCCTGTACAAGGTTGAGGTCTGCAAACTCATGGAGCTCAACGAAAGCCTGAAGAACTTTAATATTAAATTCGTCCCTAGGAAAGAAAGGAAATGTGTTTACAGCCCACTGCATATTATTTCAATCATATTGAAAGAAAGATATTTCCTAAAGCAAGTTTTTGTGGTTTTTGATTTCATATGACTTTAAGATATTTTTCATGGTACGTTTGTTTTTAGGTTTAGTGCAAAGAAGACTCAGCAGGATATTACGAGTTTACTTCACAACCATTAAGAATCAGGATAAGGGGGGGCCGGCCCTGTGGTGTAGTGGTTAAGTTCGGCACGCTCTGCTTTGGCGGCGCGGGTTCACGGGTTTGGATCCTGGGTGCAGACCTACACCACTCGTCAGCCATGCTGGGGCGGTGACCCACATAGAGTGGAGGAAGGCTGGCACAGATGTTGGCTCAGAGCTAATCTTCCTCAAGCAAAAAAAGAGAAAGACTGGCAACAGATGTTAGCTCCAGGTGGATCTTCCTCAGCAAAAAAAAAGAATCAGGGTATGGAGACCACCCTATCTTGGTGGTCAACCAAGCTGCCAACCAACCAAGCTGGTGCCCAACACCAGCTACCAAGGCCAACGCTGGGGCACCACGTGCTCAGTGTAAAGCCCTGCCCCACGTACTTGTTGCATCTTCTCTCTCAGTCTTCAAACAGCGTGAAGCAGGCGCTAAGATCACTCCCACGTCACAGGTAGGAGTCTGAAGCTCAGAGAGGTGAAGACACCCCCCAGGGTCATAACCCAGAAAGTGCAGTACTGGGCTCAGAAAGGAAGGTTTGAAGGAGAAATGATACCTTACGTTAATAATTAGCTTTTCAAAACTCAACTACATGTGAGAACACAGTAAAAGGTGTAAAGTTTTACATAAACGTAAAAGATGAGAACAAAAAGGGAAACGATACAACAGCAACAACTGGCTTCACTGGATTTTTAACTCAAAGCCGTTCCCATAGCCCTGGTCTCGAGGTACAGTAAGGACACCCCAAGCCAGCAAAACGCTTTGGTCCCACCTGCCCCACCCACAGGGCGGAGCCTCAGCTCAACCAGTCCCAGCTGACCGGCCCCTGAGACCTGCTCCACCCACACCCTCTCCCGGCTCTGCTGATGGCAGCTCGTCTCTGGTTCCCATTAAGTCTCCTGCTGGTCGTGCTGCTTCCGCTCCTGTTCACCCCCACCGCCTGACATTCTACTCCAGAGGGATTGTTTTAAAGGTGAATCAGACCACGTCCTTCCCCTGATGCGAACCTTCCAATGCCCCTTTATTTCCCTCCTAGCAATGAGCCCGGAAGCCATCGGGGTGAGCACATCTCCACTCCATCCCCACCCCCGGCCCTGGCCTGACCTGCTCTTCCCCAGACACCTGCGGGGCTCACTCCCTCCTGCCCTTCACATCCTGGCACAAACATCACTTTCTCAGTGAGACAACCTGACCTCTTACCATCTTACCATCTTACCTCTTACCATCGCCGCAAACCAGCCTCCCAGCTCTCCCAGTGCCCCTTATGTTCTCCCACTTTTCCTTTCCTCCTTAGCCCTGATCACCTGCTAACACACAGGTTTTCTCATTTATTATGCTTATTCATGTATTGTCTGTATTGCTCCAGCAGAATGTAGGTCCACAAGTGGACAAATCCACCTGTTTACCCACACCACCCAAGTGCCTAAAACAGTGCCTGGCACAGACTTGGAACTTACTGTTTTTTGGAACTCCAAATCTGCAGGCACTCAGTTTTGGTTGACTATATGAACTGCCAGACTGCATTATACGAGTGTCATAGTTCATCCCCACAGTCGCACATCTGCCAGAGGATGACGAGAATTACGCAGACTCTGGCCCTCACGGCACGTCCTATTAGACTAGGTGTCACAACTCCTAAGACACTGCTCAATTCTTTTTTTTAAATCAGCTTTGTTGATACATAATTCATATTCCCATACAATTCACCCATTTCAAGTGTACAATTCACTTGTTTTTAGTATATTCACAGATTTGTGTGACCATCACCACAACCAATTTCAGAATATTTTCATTTCCCAAAAAAGAAAGCCCCCATCCTTTTACCATCATCTCCCAATCCTCACATTCCCCTCAGCCTCAGGCAAACATTCTCTGTTTTCTGTCTCTATAAATTCACCTATTCTGAGCATTTCCTATAAATGGAATAATACAATATGTGGTCTTTTTTGACTGTCTTCTATTATCACGTTTTTAATGTTTTAATCCACGTGGTAGCACGTATCAGTACTTCATTTCGTCTTATTGTCAATAATATCCCATTGTACGAACACACCACATTTGATTTATCCACTCAGTTGATGGACATTTGAGCTGTCCCCACTTTTTTGGCTATTATGAATAATGTGGCTCTGAACACTTGTGCACATGCTTTTGTACAGACATCTGTTTTCACTCCTCTTGGGTATATACCTAGGAGTAGAATTACTGGGTCACATGATAAGTTTAGTATTTTGAAGAAATGCCAACTGCTTTCCAAAGTGGCTGTATCATTTTATATCCTACCAGCAGCATATGAGGGTTCTGATTTCTCTGGAACCTCACCAGCATTTATTATCTGTTTTTTTTTTATCATAGCCATTCTAGCGGATGTGAAGTGGTATCTCATCGTGGTTTTGATTTGCATTTCTCTGATGGCTAACAACGTTGAGCATCTTCCCATGTGCTTATTGGCCATTGTGCTTATGGCCTTATCATATGCTTATTTATGTATTTTCTTTGAAGAAATGTCTGTTCAGATCCTTTGTCCAATTTTATAATTATGTCTTTTTATTATCGAGTTGTAAGAGTTCTTTATGTATTCTAGACATAAGTCCTTATCAGATTTATACATGACTTGCAAATATATTCTCCTATTCTGTGGGTGGTCTTTTCACTTTCTTGATGATGTCCTTTGAAGCACACACGTCTTGAATTTTGATGATATTTACTTATTTTTTTCTTTTGCTATTCGTGCTTTTGGTGTCACATCTAAGAAACCCTTGCCTAATCCAAGGTCACAAACATTTACCCCTATATTTTCTTCTAAGTGTTTTATAGTCTTAGATCTATCTTAATTTTTGTATATGGTGAGTGGTCCAATGCCATTCTTTTGCATGTGGATATATAGTTGTCCCACCATCATCTGTTGAAAAGACTATTCTTTCCCCCACTGAATTGTTTTGGCACGCTTGTCAAAAATCATTTGACAGAAAAATGTGAGGGTTTATTTCTGGATTCTCACTTCTATTCCACGACCTGTATGTCATCCTTATGCCAGGACCACACCATCTTGATTAGTGTAGCTTTAGTCTGTTTTGTAATTGGGAAGTCAGTTCTCCAACTTTGTCTTTTTTTTCAAGATTCTTGTGGCTATTCTGGGCCCTTGAATTTCTAAATGAATTTTAGGATGAGCTTGTCAACTCCTACAAAGAAGTTAGCTGGGACTTTGCTAAGGCAGGTGTTAAATCTGTAGATCACTGTGGAGGGAGGGTACTGCCATCTTCGCAATATTAAGTATTCCAATTCACAAACATGGGATGTCTCCATTTAATTAGGTCTTTTCATTTTTTTCAATATTTCATACAGTTTTCAGAGTAAAAATTTTGTACTTCTTTTGTTAAATTTATTTGTAAGTATTTTATTATTTTCAATGCTATTGTAAATGGACTGGTTTTCTTAACATCCTTCTCAGCTCGCACACTGCTACTGTACAGAAATACTGAATTTTGTATATTGATCTTGCATCCTGCAACGTGACTGAAATTTTTACTTTTTCCTTTCCAAACTGGATGCCTTTAATTTCATTTTCCTGCCTAAGTGCCCTGGCTAGAACTATCAGCACCATGTTGAATAGCAGTGCTGAGAGCAGTCATCCTTGTCTTGTTCTTTTTTTTTTTTTTTCTCCATGTTTATTTTTTTTATTTTTATTTTTTTTTTTAATTTTTTGTTTATTGCAGTAACATTGGTTTATAACATTGTAAAAATTTCAGGTGTACATCATTGTACTTCTATTTCT